TAGATTTTTGTATTAACCTTCTAATTGATCATAATAAGTGAATATAATTAATAAATCCATTATTAAGCCAAAGCGTTGAAGCCAAATGTGCACTTGTAAGTTGCTATACACAGATTTGTAGATAATTTTATAGATTTTCAACGATATAATTTAATATATTAAGAATAATATGAGTTTTAGAACAATCCTGCTAACATAAACGACTGTAACTAAGGACTAATAAATAAAGATTTAAAATAAAATTTTAAGTTTCACATATGGTTTTTATATAATTTTGTTTAGAATGTTATTAAACATATTATGCCGATAAGTAGATAATTTCACTAGATTTTTAGCATATGTATTTTAATTGTTATATTTTATTTATTTATAATAAAATAAACGCAGTTATAAATTACTGCAACTGATGACTAATAATGTTATAGAAGCCATTTTGATTTCAAAATTTAAAACATCTATTTATATAATTTTGTTAGAAACCTTATCAAATGTTATACGCAGATTAATAAATGGTTTAATAAGCTTTTTAACAATATAATATAATAAATTAAAAATATATATGGATCTTATACTAATTATGCTAATAAAAAAGTAACCAAACGACTAATAACTAGATGCAAAATTTAGAATTTCACATATTTTTCTTACTTAATTTTGTTAGAGAATATATTTAACATTATATGCAGACAATATATATTTTGATTGTTATATTTAATTATTTATAATAAAATACACGCAGGTATAAATACTGCAGCCGATGACTAATCTTATAGAAGCCATTTTGATATCAAAATTTAATTATTTTTATATAATTTGTAGAAACATTATGGATTTTCATACGTAGTTTTATAGATAATTTTATAAACTTTTAACGATATAATATGATATGTTGTATTTTTGGTATATTTTAATTTTTTATAACAAAATAAATCTCTATACAAAAATCTGTAACCGATGAAACTAATGCTGTATAAGCCATTTTGATTACATTTTTTTTAGATTTTATTAGAAAGGTTATAAATTTTTACACGCAGATTTGTAGGCAATTTTATTACCTTTAATTTGATATATAATAATATATATTAATTATGTTAAATAACAAAGCTATAAAGATAAATATAAAAAAGTGTCCTTGGTTGTTCGACGTTTGCAAACTTAAGTTGAAATTTCGTTAATGTAACATACTAAATTTAACACAATGTTTCGTTAATGTGAAATTATACGTAACACAATGTTTCGTTAATGTGACTTTTAATTTAATTTTATTAAAACTTTTTCTAACAATATTATTTCTAAAACGAACATTGTAAAATATTATAGGCCTATGAAAAGTGTTTGAATTATGGCAGTATGTTTTTTAATAGCTCTTTTCATACTTATATAAGTCAATTAAAACAAATTTTCAAATTAAAAAAAATAATTTGGTTGATTATAAAAAATACACTTAATAGCTAGATTAAGTCGATTGAAACAAGGCCAGCACGTACAGGGATACTCAGTTCGTATCCTGCTCGAGTGCAGCGAGTAAATTGATATAGATTTGAAGAATTTTTTGAAGAAAAAAGAAAAAAAAATTGTTTAATATCTGTTTTACGAGGCCAATAATAATAGAAAAAACGGCAAAATGCCTCTTACACCAAATTATAATTATATTTACACTAAGATGCTATAACGACAGACATATATCATTTTTATTTTCAATATTTCTAATGTATCTTTTCTCCTTTCCAGGGGTGCCCTTATCGGGGCAGAGAGGACATACTGTCGAGTCCTTCAAGAGGCAGTAAACAAAGACAGGAGGGTCTCTGGAGGAGCCCCTACGATGAACCCCAGCAATCATGGAACCACGATGCGCAGGACATTCTGTTATTCGCCCGTTCGAGACCGCGCACCACAATGCTGTATGCACTTCCGCCGAGTTCGAACAATTTAAACGGGGGCGGAAACATGTGGGGCGGAGGACCCAACGGAAACGGGGGCTCCGGCAGCGGAGCCATCGGGAGGAACTATTCGGCGGCCAATAACAGGTAATAAGGAGATAAGGGATAAAGGATAAAGGATAATTATTTATTTGCAAGAGCATGTTATCGGAAATGTAGTGTCTTATACTTTGAAGCTTCATTTTTTTGTTACCTTGATCCTAGTTATTAACTTCCTCTAGGGCAAGTTATTGTAATTGTCTAAAATTCGAAAACTAGTTGGTTTGGTATTTAGCCTTGAGGCAAGTTACATGAACTTCCCGATATGTTTAAATAATCGACTTAATCAATAAAATATAAATTAATTTATGAGTCATTAAAAGTATTCCGAGTGGATTTATTACACATAATTGAAACGAACGAACACTTTGACTCGGAGTATTTTCTAAATGCAAATTTTATATAATTGAACCAGTTTTCGGGACTTTAATGGTTTATTATGTTCAAGACCAAGTACTCTATCATTATACCAAGTAAATAGTCTAATTTTAATTTTAACAAATCTCAAAAGAACTACTCATTTTCTCAAACTTTGATGAATTTTTAAAATCAAACTATTTGTCGTAAGGCCGTAATATTTCAGTAAGTTCTATAAGACCATGTATATATCACTAAAAAAAATCCATAAAATCGGCTTAAATTTTTTTCAACAGTTAATTACAAGAAAACGGCTCGATAGATTTTCACCTAAAACTAATCAGTATCACGACCAACTAATATCTTTCGAACAGTTTTTGATTTTCTATAATCGATTTGGTAGTATGAGCTTCAATGTGGACGAAAAGTTTAACACTTTTTTTCAAATTATAAAGAAACGGATTGGCAGATCGTCGCACAAAACTGACAAACGATAGTCCTCACCGAAATACATCAAATGGTTTTTAAATTTTTGAAATCGGTTAAGGCGTTTTTGAGAAAACGTCGATCAAAGATCTCATTTTGACAAATGTCAATAAAACGATACCAATTTTTGCAAACTTTGACGAATTTTTAAAGCTAAACGAGTTGTCGTAGGGCCGTAATATTTTAGTATGACCTAGAAAACTATGGTATCTACCGTCAAAAAAAATCATGAAAATCGTCGATTTTTTTTTTAAACTTTATTACATGAAAACGGCCCGGCCGATCTTTACCAAAAACTAATCAGCACGATTTTGAAATCGGTCCAGCCGTTTTGAAGAAAACGTCGATTTACGGCAAAAAATCTGTTCACACACACATACTTTTTTCAAATTTGGTCTCATTCGATTCAGAATGGCTTGAAACGTCGAGAAAACATAAAATTAGCGAATCGGATTTTTTGATGAAAACATAAACTTCTCCTTCGGGAAGTTAATAAAATTTTTTTTGCATATCTTAACGTTTCAGAAGTTTTGAACATTTGGCATACCTTAGAAAAAATTAATGCGTGTGTGTGTGCGGATACAAATTTTCCTTGACAAATTCAGTAGATGAAGTAGAAAAGTGGATGAAACTATGGAGAATAAAAGTGAATAACTCTAAATCAGTTCACGTTACTTTTACCTTACAACAAGGTTCATGCCCCCCTGTTAGATTGAATGGTGATTTGGTTCCTGTATCCAATGTTGTTAAATATCTGGGAATACATTTAGATAGAAGATTAACCTGGCATGAACATATTCTAAAGAAGCGTCAGCAGCTTGAATTAACACGTAGGCAACTTAATTGGTTAATGGGCTGGAAATCACGAGTCACAATAGAAAATAAACTCCTAATATACAAGACAATTATTAAACCAATATGGTCCTACGGTCTACAACTATGGGGTGCGGCCAGTAAATCGAACGTAATTATTCTACAAAGGTTCCAAAATAAAATTTGAAAGAAATCGTGAACGCTCCAAAATACGTTCCCAATTGGTTGATACATCAAGATCTCAGAATTCGAACTATAGAAGAAAAAATTAGTCTTTACTCGTCTAAGTCGTCATCCAAACATATTAGCGTTAGATCTGCTCAAGCCTTTACCACCAAAGCGTCTCAAAAAAAGAATCTGCAATGATTTACTACAAAATATAACATAACTTCTATGAAGGCGCTATCGCAGGATAGCGATCCTTCTCACGCCGTCAATTAATAAATAACTGTAACAAATGCAGCTGAATGTACTTTGTATAGCTTGCTATGAATAATAAATAAATAAAAAATCGGGAACACGGATCAACCGATTTTAATGATTCAAAAAACACTCGATTGCTATTGATTGCTGATTAGTCTTTGAGAAAAACAGTTCCAGCCACTTCGGAGTTGATTTATTATATACAATTATAAGTTTCAATATATATTAAAGTATGAATTATTTTTTTAGGACTTCACCGACTTTTCAAAATCGTGGTTCAGGTGCTACACAAGGCATGCCATCAGGAGCTAATCGTTCGATGCCTCAAGGTGGAAGCATCAGTTCGATGGGAAACAGGAACCAGAATTCGAATAGAAGCAATCGGATGCAGAACTGGTTCAAGGAATACAGTGAATATGAACAATGTTTTAAGTGAGTATTAGACTAAGATCTTATTAACTTCCCCTAGAGTAAGTTATAGTAATGGGACGAAAATCGAAAGAGAAATTTTTTGCATATCTTCACGTTTCAGAGGTTTTTGAACATTTTGGCATACCTCTATTTTTTATGTCCGCATTTTTTCGTTCACGTTTTTGGGTGCACCGATCAACCGATTCGAATGGTTCAAAAAACAATCGATTCCAATTGATAAGGAGATGTGCTGATTAGTTTTTGGCAAAGGCAGGTCCAACCATTTTGGAGATACCGAGCTAATTATGAAAAAAATGGCAATTTTTAAGAGAGCTATGCCTTCGATTTGGATGATTCAAAAAACTTTCTGCTTGTTTTGACAAAATAATTGCTGTTGGGAAAAAACATTTTTCCCAACGAAAATAATTCAGATTTTAATTTTGATCCTAGCTAAAGTTCTAAACTTTACCTAGATTCAGTTTATATAATTCTTATAAATATTAGATAATTTTACAGTATTTATAATAATCTATTTGAAAAAATATTCCTCGAACATTTCGTTACGGTACGGGAAGTTCCAGCAATTTGCCTTAAGGCACGATGGTATACACCACTAGTTTACCACTAGTATTATTAATGTTTATAAAAATTATGCATGGATGGATATAGCACAAACATTGGTAGAGAAGTATTTATTTTTGCATACATTTCTGGATTTTGATTATGTTTTTAATAGCAAATTGTTGTAGAAACTTGATATCAGAAACTATTTTATAATATTTAATCCTAAACATATTTCTCTTATGTATCATTCTTATCAAACGATTGTTTTATAAATTATGATACAGATATAATAGTTATGTATTTTGTTACAAACACAATGAGTTTAGACTATATTTTTAGACAGAGTTTCTTTAGAATATTTCTTTTTCAAAAAAGTTGTAGATTATTGAACTAAATTGTCTTATATTTTATTCATATTAGTTGAATGATTTAAGATTTAATAACAATATTATAAATATACTTATAATAAACTGCCTATTTAAAATTATTCTCTCATATTTTATTCCTTTTTCTTCAGTCTTTTCCTGCAAAATTAAATTTATAATAATTAGTTTATATTAGATGAGTTGTTTTTAAGTTACAAGAGATACAGTAAATGAATTTGCTTCTGAGATTGATATCTTTGGCCTGTCGGTGACAAATATAAAAAATCAAGCCAGGAAAATTATCCTTAAAAGACTGTCTTAAGTAGTGATTTATAGTTTATTAAATGTTTAAATTTATTAGTTTTTATTTAATGTTATATATTTGTAGTTTATATTAAGTGTTATGTATATATATACACAGCTATCTATGAACTCTTAATACTCTAATTTTTTCACATATTATCTCTTTATTTTATAATTTGTACACTTTAAAATGTAACTATATTTTATTATTGACTTGGGCGTTGAATAAATAAATAAATAAATAAATAAATAAATGTATATATGAGTGGTCATTGGCCAAAATAAATCCACATACTAAATATTTCTTTTTTTCCTAGTGAGGGCAACGGCAGCGACCGCAACAGCCCCAAAGACCAAAACTACCCCAAACCATTGTCGTCTCGCAGTGTCGGACAGGTTTTCTCTTTCGGACCAGAAATGCCCTCCGACCAGAACGGCGACAGAAGGAACAGCATATCGGGGCCCCAGGACAGACCCAGTATGAGAAACGGTCCCAATATGATGGGACCCAGAGGTGTTCAGGATGGGCCGATGCAGAGAGGGAATAGAGATTTTAGAAATATGAGCAGCTCGGGAATGGGCAGCTCTTCGAGGTCTGATATGATGGATCGAGGAGGAGATTATCAATCTTATTGGAATGGTAGAGGTGAGGATAATTGAAATAGATTGGTATCAAATTTAGTTTACTCACAAAAGAAAATAAATTTTATTAACTTCCCGAAGGAGAAGTTAATGTTTTCATCAAAAAATCCGATTTGCTAATTTTGTGTTTTCTCGACGTTTCAAGCCATTCTGAATCGAATGAGACCAAATTTGGAAAAAGTATGTGTGTGTGTGTATGTGTATGTGTGTGTGTGTGTGTGAACAGATTTTTTGCCGTAAATCGACGTTTTCTCAAAAACGGCTGGACCGATTTCAAAAATTTAAAAGCCATTTGATGTATCTCGATGAGGACTATCGTCTCTGAGTTTTGTGCGGCGATCGGCCGGGCCGTTTCTTTGTAAATTGCAGAAATGTGAAAAAATTTTCATCCATGTTTTAGCCCGCAATTCTGAATCGATTCTGAAAATTCAAAAACCATTCGATAGATATTGGTTGGGAATCGTGTTTTATTAAATCGAATTAGTTTTTGGTAAAGATCGGCCGAGCCGTTTTCTAGTAATAACGTTTTTAAAAAAAAAATTTCGACGATTTTTATGATTTTTTTTTTACGGTAGATACCATAGTCTTTTAGATCATACTAAAATATTACGGCCCTACGACAACTCGTTTAGCGTTAAAAATTCGTCAAAGTTTGCAAAAATTGGTATCGTTTTTTTGACATTTGTCAAAATTAGACTTTTGATCGACGTTTTCTCAAAAGCACCTGAACCGATTTCAGAAATTTAAAAGCCATTTGATGTATTTTGGTGAGGACTATCGTTTGTCAGTTTTGTGCGCCGATCTGTCAAGCCGTTTCTTTGTAATTTGAAAAAAAGTGTTAAACTTTTCGTTCACATTTAAGCTCATCCTACCGAACCGATTTTAAAAAATCAAAAACCGTTCGCAAGATATTAGTTGGGAATGGTACTGATTAGTTTTAGGTGAAAATCTACCGAGCCGTTTTCTTGTAATTAACTGTTGAAAAAAATTTAAGCCGATTTTCATGGAATTTTTTTTAGCGATATATACCATGGTCTTATAGAACTTACTGAAATATTACGGCCTTTTTTTACGACAAATAATTTGATTTTAAAAATTCATCAAAGTTTGAGAAAATGAGTAGCTCTTTTGACATTTGTTAAAATTAAAATTAGACTATTTACTTGGTATAATGATAGAGTACTTGGTCTTGAACATAATAAACCGTTGAAGTCCTGAAAACTGGTTCAATTATAAAAATTATTGATTTTTGAAAATTTGCTTTTAGTAAATACTCCGAGTTAACGTGTTCGTTCGTTTTTAATTATGTGTAATAAATCCACTCGGAATACTTTTAATGACTCATAAATTAATTTATTTTTTATTGATTAAGTCGATTTTTTAAATATATCGGGAAGTTCATGTAACTTGCCTCAAGGCTAAATACCAAGCCAACTAGTCTTATATTTTATTCTTATAGATAATATGATATCACCTGGGTTGCCTCAGGATGGTGCATGGTCCATGGAAGTTGAACATTCTGTTAAACATGGATCGGGCAGTTCAAATAACTCAGCAAGCATTTCACCAAACAACAGCGGATCACCAAACAGTAAGTCCACAATTAAATTCACCAAAAACCATAAATATTCAAAACAATTTTTTTTTAGGTCCAGGTAGCAACAGCCCCCATTCCTCCCAAGACAATTCTTCAAGCAGTCCATCTCGCAAACGCAGAAGGCTAGTCTCCACAAGATCTCTTCGGATAAGAGACGATGGGCCTAGGGAAAATGCGACACCTTCTAGTTCTTCAATGAACAATCCATCTCAGGGGAGCTGGAATGACCAGGGGCCTCTCCTACATCCTCCTCCACTTGTTAGACAACGTCGCAGTCCTAGGCATCATTTGTCTTCGAATAATAACAACCCGGTTGGTAATAATGGACTGATTAATGGCCATCAGAATGGTAATGGTAATGGACCTCCACATATGCAGAGCAGGTACGTATTGGTATTTCTTGGACTGAAATTGTGAATGAATTTTATTTCGATTCTCCAGATATCAACAAATACATATAATAATTTTTGTAAATTAGAGTTGAGTGCAATTCAATATGATGTGATATTTATTCTAGTCCACCGCCTTTGAGAAGAGCCAGATATCGTGACCGCAACAGTTGGCCTGAAGGAATTACACCTCTGTTCCAGACAACAGCTCCTTCGACACATCAACCATCTCTGGTAGTTGATATAAATGTAAGTACACACACAATATATATATATATATATATATATATATATATATATTTTTTTTTTTTTTTTCTATCCTAAACTCCGAAGAGTAAATACTGAGTTTCGACAACTTGTTAAGTTATCATGATTATTAGTGTGTTTTACCATTTGTGATGTTTGTGTTAAAAAATACATATCTTATCAATGTGCACATACTCATACCATGGATTAATAATGGTTTCATATGCTATATTAGGATACAAAATTTTAACTTGATTACCACTGAATGATGGCTAAGATGCTAGCCGAAACGTATGGATTTTAAATAAATAAATTTTTTAAAAAACTCATGCTATTTTTATTGATGTTACGCCCGAATATTAAACTCAAATTAAACATATATATATATATATATATTAGGGTGGTCCTTAAAATGGTCATTTTCGAATTTCCTTGCTCCCAGGGGCTCAAATGGTTCCAAATAGATAAAAAACAATTCTCTGAAAGTTTTAGCTCTTAATATTAACGTTTAGATAGAGCGCAATTCAATCAAAGTTTGTATGGAAAGAGCATGGAAAAAATTTTGAAAATTAAAAAAAAATGTTTTAGGTGTAACTTAGCGACAAATGAACGAGTTTTATTCATTCATTTGTTTGCTAAATTACATCTAAAAAACATTTTTAAAATTTTTGAAAACTTTTCCATGCTCTTTCCATACAAACTTTGATTGAATTGCGCTCTATCTAAACGTTAATATTAAGAGCTAAAACTTTCAGAAAATTGTTTTTTATCTATTTGGAACCATTTGAGCCCCTGGGAGCAAGGAAATTCGAAAATGACCTTTTTAAGGACCACCCTAATATATATATATATATATATATATATATATATATATATATATATATCTTCTATATATATAAAAATAAGTCGGGTTTTCCTTCCTGACGAAATAACTCCAGAACGCACAAATCGATTTCGACAATTTTGCATTCATTGGAAAGGTCTCGGGCTCCGCAAGGTTTATAGCTAAGAAAATTAGTTGTGCATGGCATCGTGCCTTAATGCAAGCTGCTGGAACTTCACGCACCGTAATTAAAAATTCGAGTAATGACATTAGTGAGAATTATCAGAATTATGCTTGGTTAAGTCAACGAGCAATTCTTGTCGCAAAGAATAATGATGTACACGCACTGAATTTTACCATTCAATCAAAAATTGCTGGCGATTTGTTGACATACCAATGATTCTGACTGGTCTTCCGTTTGACTTCAAACGATTGCAATATCCAATTCGCCTTGCGTTCGCAATAACATGTCGCAAGGCCAATCGCTTAGTGTTTGCGGGATAAATTTCAAATAGATTATTTAGAAAATCATTGTTTTTCACATGGGCAGTTATATGTTGCCTGTTCACGAGTTGGAAAACCATCCGCTTTGTTTGTGTTAACGTCAGACCAAAAAACAAAAAATGTGGTTTACCAAAGAGCACTTCAATGAAACGGAAAATTTGCGGATTCACTTTCATTTACTTAGAGAAGTTCAACTAAAAAACACTTCATTTTTGTAATCAAAATAAATTCGTTACTGTTGTATAATAAAATCAAATTTTTCCTTTTAAAATATAAAACAAACAAAAAATTTCTTCATCTTTCTCACGAAACCATCTGGTGGCGAAACGGAGTTCGTCGGGTTTGCTAGTATATATATAAATATAGTGGGATACATTGAACTACGAATACCAATAGTTTATAAATAACAGATCTTCTAATCTTTATTATTTACACAATATTGATGGCTCTCAATTGTACTTTTACAAGACTTGATATTACACTCATAATGTGAATCTTATGAATTATCAAATAATTTGAGTGTAATTGTAGGTATAAACAAGTACAAGTACATCATTGTACTCATTTACAGATATACTCATGTTAATATTATATTTTGCTGACTATTTAATTCTTATTATTATGTTATGTTCCAGGTGCCAGTTAGTTTGCCATTGACTGCAGATCATATTTGGTCATATCCTCCAAGACCACACATATCTCTATGTTCAAATGGACATCCACCACATTTGCAACCTTGTCAGGTAAATAAAGATATAAACATATACAATTGATTGTCAGATTGTAAGTCGTTATTTTAATTTTTGGTATGTATTCTTTTAGGTACATGGTATATACCATGCACAATACCCGACTAGTTGTCAACTGGGGCTGACGCAGTTTGCACCAGCACCTGGTGCCATTGCAGTACCACAGTATCATCAACACATTCCTACGGTTAGTATTAGATTGTAAAAATATTTAATTAGTATTTTTAAAATGTATACAAGTAAAAATTCTTATCTGTACTGGAGATATCAGTAAGTAATGGATATAATTTTTTATTTAATAATTTAATTCATATTTGGTATATTTAATTCTTAAAAGTATCTGTTATGAGATATTATACAAAATATAGTTATTGTGGCATGTAATAGGTTTCACATTTTGTATAAAATACAAACTATTAGCTAAAATATTTAAACCATTTTCAGATTTTAACAAATATTGGCTTGCGCTAGAAATGTTTTATTTTTGTAATGCATAATACAAAAATAAATAAATGTGATTAATGTATTAAATATTGTTTTAATTTTTTAGAGATCTGATGGAGCGATAGCAATAGCAGAATCTCTGGAGCATCACCAGCATCATGGAGCAGGTGGCGGAGCACCTCGGGCTCCCCAATTGTCTTCCTTGGCGCTTACTACACACTCCACAACTCCTCAAATAGCACAGCTGTCACCTCCACCGCTGTTCATTACTACTGAGGTAAGAAACTTAAGATTTTGATATATATGTATGTCTATATATATATATATATATATATATATATATATATATATATATATATATATATATATATATATATATATATATTAATTTAGAAATATGAACAAACAACATTCTTTTTTGTACTAATTTATTAAATAATAATTTTACAAACGTTTCGAGACTAGGTTTGTCTCAACATCACTGTGCTATAATTTAAAAACTAAAATATGGAAACCTAAATTAGCATTATATGTTATCCTTGTGTTGTTAAGTTCAACGCATCAAAACACAATTTTCTTTTTCCTAAATTTATACAATGAATATACACATATCCGCCGTTTTACAGGGAAGATAGGTCCCACTTTTACATGTAAAAACCGTGCTAAACTAAAATCATTATAAAAAAGCCCTTTTTGTAGTTTGTAATATGATGAATAACAAACACAATGGACAAAAAATAAATATTAATATATTTAATATCAAACACATGTATAATGGACGACTTGTGACGGATAACACATAATGCTAATTTAGGTTTCCATATTTTAGTTTTTAAATTATAACTCACTGATGATGAGACAAAACTAGTCTCGAAACGTTTGTAAAATTATTGGTTAATAAATTAGTGCGAAAAAGAGTGTTGTTTGTACATATTTCTAAATTAATATTTATCTATCCACTCAGAATACATTTGTTATATATATATATATATATATATATATATATATATATATATATATTAGGGTGGTCCTTAAAATAGTCATTTTCGAATTTCCTTGCTCCCAGGGGCTCAAATGGTTCCAAATAGATAAAAAACAATTCTCTGAAAGTTTTAGCTCTTAATATTGTCTTTTATATAGAGCGCAATTCAATCAAACTTTTCAAAAATTTTACAGAACGTTGAATTTTCAATAAAAAATGACACTTTTAATTCATTTGTCGCTAAGTTATACCTATTATTTTTTTTTTTGATTTCAAAATTTTTTCCGTGCTAGTTCCATACGAAGTTTGATTGAATTGCGCACTATCTGAAAGTTAATATTTAGAGCTAAAACTTTCAGAGAATTGTTTTTCATTAATTTGGAACCATTTGAGCCCTTAGGAGCAAGGAAATTCGAAAATGTCCATATTAAGGACCACCCTAATATATATATATATATACATATATATATATATATATATATATATATATATATGTGCTTCTGCTAAGTGTTATTTTGTGTTACTGTATAGTCCTTTCCAATCTTTAGTAAATGATTTAAATTCCCCAAACACGTAAATCAGTGGCTTCAATTAAATACATATATATAATTACTGTATAATTTGCGTTTGCGGCATCGGATAGAGCTCTATAAGTTGTGGTATATTTTTTATTCATTTCAATTTCACAAAGAGAGCTTTCCTTTCCATTTTTTATCATGTCAATCAATTATCATGATTTTCCTCAGTCTGCCCAACTAGAACTCTACCCGACGATCCGCTCGCGTCGTGCGGCTCCCCCGAACGTAGGCCTTACCACTGCCCCTAATGGGGGCGTATGCTCCGTAGCCGCTAATTCGGCTGCTGGCGGCGTCCTTCAGCAGCAGACTGCGATGAGAAGGGCGCTCGCTCGTATAAGGACACGCGTGGCGGTCGAGACTGCCATCGACCTCCATCATCATCATCAGCAGCAACAGCAGCATTGGCACCAGCATCAGGCGCATCAGCAGCAGATGCAGAATGCCGCGCAGCATCAGGTAGTAAAGGATAGGGTTTTTTTTTTTGAGCCACTGATTTACTTGTTAACTTCCCGTAGGGAAAGTTATAGTAATCGCAAAAAAATCGAAAATGAAAATGTTTGCATTTCTCGACGTTTCAAAGGTTTCTGAACATTTTGGCATGCTTTAGAAAAAATGTGTGTGTGTGTGTGTGTGTGGATACAAATTTTCGTCGACGATTTCGGGAACACGGATGAAGCGATTTGAATAATTCAAAGAACATTCGATTCGTATTGATAAGGAGACGTGCTGATTAGTTTTTGGCGAAGGCAGGTCTAGCCGTTCCGAAGATATGGGGCAAAAAGTGCAAAAAACGGTAACTCAGTTTTTAATAGAACGGAGCGTCCGATTTGAATAATTCAGAAAACATTTTACTTATATTAACAAGATGAAAAACTGATCAAATTTTCATGAAGGCAGGTCTAGCGATTTCGGAGATTTAGTAAAAAAAGTAAGAAAAAATGCCATCTGGTCATTAGACATATGCACATCAAATTATCAGATATTTTATAGAGATTTTAACAATAAGTATAAATTTTGTTTACATTCCTATGGGTTCCATTCGACGGCGACGCACCGCTTACGCGCTTCGATATTTAGTCTCTATGCAGTTAAAGCAGTACGATTGCTTTGAAAAAAAGTTCAGAAGTTCCAAAAAATTTCAAAATAAATTTTTCTTCAATAAGTCTTTTTTTGTCAAAAATTTATAGTTTCTGATAAATCTAATTTTTTCAGAGTATTTTTTTTTTCAAAAATTTTGGTACAGGAAGTTCCAGCAATTTGCCTTAAAGCATGATGCCATGCGCCCCACTAGTTTTGGGTAAAGGATTTATAGAAGATATTGGTTGGGGATCGTGCTGATTAGTTAAGACATAAATGATTGATAAAAAAACTAACTCGATTGTTAAATTTTAAGAATAGAAAATAGGCTAGAAATACAAAATCCTCTGATCAATGTCAAGAATATGCATGTAATTTAGGATAAGCAACAATCAAAATTGTTTGTTTTAGGCATAATCGTAGGGATAGAGTGCAAAATCTTTATTATTATTGCAAGGAATGTAAAAATGAGTAGTCTAGTCTAATAAAATTAGTCCAAGATACAAATATATGCATATTAGAGATGGGCTTATCATATCCAAAGCCGGATCGACTCGGATTTGACTCCGCTTCAGGGAGGAGTTATATCCGCTTAACAACTTCACGACTCCGACAATTTTGAAACCGAAATACTCGACACAAAAGTGTTCTATAGTGCGTTGTTTATGCATCCGAGGATTTGTCAAATCCTATTTAATTTTTTCAAATGAAAATTTATGAATAATTATCAATAAAATAAATTTTTCTAAAAAATTCCCAAATAAATGACGAGTTGTAAAATTTTTCGGTCGACCACATGATCGACTCAATGACTCGTAATTTTAACAGTGTTAACCAAAGTAAAAACTCAAAACTTGAGAAGCAAATTCAATTTAGTTATTTTCTTTTGATGAGAGAATAATTGATTTTTTGGATTAATTTTATATAAGAATAATGTAGTAAACTTTGTAATAAAAGCAAAACATTTATCATAAAATATTTTAACCAAATAATAATACTTCTGATTCCTAATTTTTTGTTCTGCTACCTCCATTCGAGAATTAATGTTATATCGGGTAGTTTGATTAGCATATTATTACTTTTACACAATTATATAATTGTGTAAAAGTAAAAATTTAATACTATATATTTTTTCTGCTTAAATATTATTGACGTCACTGATATATTTTGCACTCTAAAGTGTTGTTATTTCAGGCAATGGAAAAACCAGATTAAATGTATTTTGTTTCGTGTATTTTTCGGTATGTATATTCCTGATTGCCGTCATTCACGGCCAAAGATTGTCGTAGTTTGGTAATGGTACCCATGAATATGAGAAATATGACCCCTTTCTATTCAATAAATTATACATTTGAGTTATTCATACGCGAACACAATTTTATTGTTCTGTATCTTTGAAGTAATATTTTTATATTTTCTGGAAAATACACAATGGTATTATTTTGAGTTTCATACCTAAAAGGTATAAAAGTGTCTGTGAGACGAGAAAGCGGTGCTTTCTTCCCAAAGCAAAAACGTCAAAAACAGTAAATGTCTGCACGAGTTAACAACAAGTTAAAAGATTAATATCAGTTTAGGGAAGTCGGATATGACAAATTCTGTGAAACAACTCTACTCGGATTCACTCCGAGAGAGGAGTTGTTTAGGAGTGATAACTCCGGATTGAGTTACCCATCTCTAACGCATATTATTAAAGGTACAATAGAAATCTGATTATTTAATGTGCAAATGTTAGATAATGAACGTGCTTACCATTTTTCGCCCTTAATTGCATAACATCACGACTTTACATCTAAACTAAGAATATTATTACCCAACTATATGATTTATGTATCATTTCTTCCCCCAGCAGGCTGCGCAAGCGGCAGCCGCCCAAGCAGCAGCCCAGGCCGCCGCCCAGGCAGCAGCAGCAGCGCACGCCGCAGCCCACGCCGTCGCCGCCGTCCACCGCCACGGTCCTCCGATCAGACGCCGCATACAGCAGGTGACAGTACACGCGCTGAACCGCCACGGGGCCACGGCCACCGCCACAGGTCATCACCGATTGCACCACCACCACCATCACCATCATCATCATCACCATCCGAATGGAGGTGCCGGTGGTCACCATCACGGACCTCAACAGCCGCCGTCGGTGGCGCAGCACGCGCAACCGCCACCACCACCGCCGCCGTATTCGGGGATACTGCTCAATTTCCTGTAAGTAGAAAGTAGACTCACAATGGTAAATATAGAAATATCAACTAAGACATAAGACGAAAGAGAAAGAGAAAGGAAAATTCAATACAAAAAACAAAAGAAATTGAAGTAAAACTTTTTTAAGCGCGTCTACGGTGTAAATCCGTACAATTGCAACGAAAGTTTCATACGGCAAGGTCGAGTGCCAATGATTTGACATTCGCTCTCAATTTCCAAATGTCCCAATTTCCAATTTGTATAAATGATTTTTCTTATCATAAGGAATTTTAGATTTCATAAATTTTAATGAGAAACCGATTTTGCGAAATATTTGCTGAAAATGATCAGTTTAAGTAAAAATTGAAGTTCTTAAACGCAAATAAACATAAATATACATAAGGTTGTCAAATATCTCCTTTCCGCCTTTTTGTATTATAAACCAAGAGCAAAAAAGCGGAAGGGAGATATTTGACAACCTAATATATAGATTGTACAGATTGATAGTACAGTAGAATCCGCTTAGTATGACATCGAAGGGACGCCGAAATCTCGTCATACTAACCGGTCGTCATTAAAAGCGTACTGAAGAAAAACTTTTTAATGTTCAAATATGTTGCATTTTTCAGTAATTTAAAAGAAAAGCCATACAAACGTTTTAATCTTCTCTTATATATAAAAATGGATCGCAAAATGTGTTGGTAAGCGCATAACTCAACAACGCTTGGACCAATTTGAATAATTATTTTTTTAAAATGTGCGTTCAAGTCCAAGAATGGTTCTTACGGCGAGAAAAAATCGAATAATTTCCGGGAAAACCCTGAAAACAGCCCTTTTCTTTTTCACATACAAACGTTTTCTAACTAAAACAATTGAATCAAATTGAGCTTTATTACTATTATATAAACTTCATATTGAATCATAAGCACCCACCGTATACTCCTTCTAAACGATTATTCGGATTTTGATAAATCTTTCTGAAGTTTGTTAAGGAAATTTTCTAGGATGTATGTGATTATAAAGTACTGGGATGTATGTGCAATATCTAGAAATAAATGGAAAAAATTGCAAAAAACGACATGTCACTGTTTGCATTGAAAACAAATGAAAACATTGAAATGTCTATATTATTATTGCCGAAAAGCAGCCGAGATGTGCCAGAAATTAAAAAAAATATAAGATACAGTATATGTATGGCAGATTGAATGATACACATATGAACAGGATATGACAAATTAATCCACTCAAAATATGAATTAAGTATTAATTACCTGTCCTACCTTTAATGCGATTCATGCGAAAAATACGAGCGCACGCTTTAGGGGGCGCCAACATAAGATTCGGATTAAATTATCAATATAGTTTTTTTTTTAATATATAATTTCTTTGCATCTTTTACTAATCTTTCCACATATTTTTAAAATTTGTCAAAATTTCACTTTATAACAACAAATGGGAAATTAAAGATAAATACATACAATTCGGCCCTCACGACATCGATTAGGAGAAGTTTAAGATGCATTTTGGATATCTTAAATAATAAAAAAATGAAATGAATTTAATCCAACATGAAGTACCAGTGTTATATTATGGTTAGGGTTATGTTATACCGTTTAAAAGGCTTAAATTTCTAATATAGTGTGAGAATTGAGACTCATCATTTCATAAAGCAGTTTTACATTTAACATTGCTCATATTATAAATGTATATGTATTTTGGCGTAAAGAATAATTTAAAAATCATTCATTATTATTTTTATGTAAACGGTAAATATTAGTATATTATATAAAAAATTGTAGACTTGGGTACAGGACAACGTCTGTCGGGTCATCTAGTTAAAAATAAAAATGACACATTAAAATTTAATATAAAATAAAATTGACATAGGGTAGGGCGGGGGCACAACGGTCCAATTTGACTTACGATAATTATACTGTCTAAACCCAATGAACAACACATAACATACATCAAAGAAGCATCTATCGAACTATTTTCAGAAAAACTTACATGCATACGTACAAATTCCTAATTATATAAATATTATATTTTTTACTATTTTTTAAATATTTGGTATTTGACCCATTTTACTCGCATACGTGGAAAGTGGAACAACCAGGGGGCGAACAGATGCAATTTCTTCTATTAAATTTTAAAGGCATTTTATGCTACATTATTGAACCAATGCAAAATATTAATTCAGTGGGTACATTGTAACAAAGACAACACAGTATATTACATTAATCTGTTATTGGTCAGAAATATTTATCAGAAGAGCCGGAATAACAATTTATTCAATTAATCTCTTGTAAAATTGCTTTTTTTAAAACTTATACTATTTTATTGCTTACTTGTTTGCCAAAGTAAAAGTTCAGCTGGTCCTTTTTATCCCACTCATTGCTGCTTATTTTCTGCTAGCAAAGTCATAAGAATGATGGTGATGACTGGTTATACATTTTTACATTTTTTGCCCTCTACTATCAAATATTTTTTTAAAAAAATTTTAATTTTATTTGTTTACGAGATATGACGTGGTGGACTATTAATAATTGGTCTACCCTACCCATAAACATACAAAAGTGATGTTTT